AGGTTGTCAGGCACTGGAACAGGCTGCCCAGGGAAGTGGTTGAGTCCCCATCCCTGGAGGTATTTAAAAGATTGGTAGATGTGGTGCTTAAGGACATGGTTTCGTGGTGGACTTGGCAGTGCTGGGTTAACGGTTGGACTTGATGATCTTAAAGGTCTTTTCCAACCTACATGATTCCATGATTCTATGACAAGACCCATCTCCCAGGATTCACTAATAGGTCAACTGAAACAGAATCCAAAAGCCCTCTTAGCAGAGGACATTTTGGTGTTAAGCGTATCAGCCTGGTCGTGCAGACCGCCCTGGGGTTTCGAGAGATGCTGGCAGCTCCGTGATCCACCTCCCCAGCTCACCCGGAAGACTCTGTCGAGGGAGAGTTTGCCAAGTTCAGATCTCATGGTGGTCTGGGCCAGCTGGGTCACTGCATACTCAGGATCTTCCACCCCATAGCTGGCCTGGAGAGCAGAAGCAAAAACCAAGAGTCAACAGCAGTGCCAAGAGGAACCCTGAACAAGGCAGGGTGGGCAAACATAGAGACGAGAAACCTGCCACAGACACCCCTGCCAAAGAAAAGCGGAGTCCAGAGCCCCAGGAGGGATTGCAAGGGCACAGCAAGCTGGGAGGAGGCTGAAGTGCCCGTCGTGGGGAGAAGGGAGCCAGCAGAGCCAGGCGAGCGGTGCCCAAGGGGCTGCCACGGTGGCCAGCTGAGCAGCGCGACACATGCAGACCGTGCTGGGCGCAGCCATGGAGGCTACACGTTTGACTCAGGCTGAGTGTCAGCACAGCAGGGACGGTACCTTGTAGGGGTCCATAACCCGCAGATAGAGCACACCATCAATCTGCAGGGTGACATTATCTGCCGGGAGAGAACAACACATCCTGTTTACGACAGCAGCAAAGGCAACGTATGGCAACCCCCTCTCCCCTGACAGAACTAGCAGAGCTGGGCAGGGTCATCCCTTTCCTTCCTGGTGTCAGCAGCGTGGCACGGAAGAGGGAATGGCTGAAATGGATCTCCTTATCTAAAAGGCTTTGTAAAAAGGATCTTGACATTCCCTAGAAAACACTACATTTTGACATCTTAATATATAAGAAGTCTCAGGTCTCCAGATCAAAACATTTC